GGCGTGATGGATGGGTGTCTTTCCGAAAAGCAAATATATTTTCCACTGGAGGCAGTGAGATGATGTACTGGTCAAATTCCGTCAAGGGGAGGGGGAGCAAGTCCTGCCCACTCATTTCATTCCAGAGATAAATCAGTGTCACCAAGCCCTCTTTAGTGGCATTGCGCTTTTTTTCTTTTTCTTTGCAAAAGATTACTTTAGAAATCTTTTAATTGGATTACTCTGGAAAATTAATCTCTTTAGGCTTGACTAAATTTGTTGCACCCAACATTGAGAGTGAAACCTAAGTCACCAAATGCAGGGATACACTGAGGAGCCTTCCTCCTCCTGCAGGCCCGCCCTAGCTCAAGTCCTTTTCTGAGGGTCAAGGAGCAGAGTTCTGCAGACCCTCTTAGGAAGATCTTGACACCCGAAGTCCTAGATCCCTCCAGGTGCAGCTACTGGGGCGGGGGTGGAGTGGGGTGGGGTGGTGGTGGTGCTGGATCAGGACCGTGGCTGGGATAAGAATCGCTACAACAAGGCCGCTCACATCTTTTCTGGGTGAATCCTCTTAACTCCGAGCGCCACTTTTCCACATTCTTCCATTTACTTCTTGAGCAACTGCAGTCCTCTCAGTTTGCTTCCAACCAACACCCCGAGCCCCGTCCTACAACTCCCTGCCTGTGTCGAGTTTTCTCAGTTCTCAGCCCTGCTTGCGGAGACTCAACTAATCTGGTAAGAAAAACAAGTGGCAGGCATATAGTGGGCTAACATTCCAACTCTCTGGATTTTCACCCAGTCAAATTCCCTAATTAAGGCTCCGGCAACCCGAGGGAAGAGCAAGGACAAAACTGCACTACCTTTCGCTTACCTAACTCTGTAGCCTCAAGCTCAACTTCTTGCGTAAAAACGCACAACTCGCTCTTGGGCTCTGTGGCACTACCTAGGAGACTTCCTTTTTGGGTGCCCTTGATCTCTCTGACCCTACCTCAGTTCCATGCCTGTCTCACCAGCCCTCACCACCCAGCAGCCTCTAAAGCAGCCAGCTTATTCAGCCTCACTTCGCCCAGAGTTTGGTAACTGATCTCCCTGCGCACCAGTTCCCTAGGTCCCCAGATGTTAGCTCGGAGAGAACCAGCGAGCTCGGCCTGACCTTGAATATTTTTCTGCCGGTCTTCCGCGATTATCTGCGGGAGATTACAACTTATGTATGAAATGGGATACCTCACTTTTTAAGCTCAATTTAGCTCTTAATAGCAGCCCCGTGAGGTATGGTTAACTGCTGGGTATAAGGGCATAATGACTTGACTAGGGAGACCACAATGATCCCTTAATGTACTTAAAAACAACAACAACAAACCCAAACAGTGGCATTGTTATTTCTTGGGAAGGGGTCGGGTTGGATTGGGGGAGAAAGAGATCTAAGTATTCCGAAGGCAGAGCGTTTGCGACTGGTACCTGATCATCTAGTACTTGGCTGTGTCTTTCTGCTGGGAGTCCTGGCTGTGGTTGGCTCGGGCATAGAGTATCGAGCGTCTGCCTGGCAGAGCTTCCTCCTAACAGAAAGGGGAAGTTAGGCGCGCTGGGCTTTGGGGACAACCCTCGGGGAGTGTGGGGGCGGGACCAAGGTGAGGGAACTCAGGCAGAACAGGTGATCAGAATGGCTGTGTGTCTTTAGTGGATTTCGGGGTGGGGTGGGGAGCTGGAGTTTCGAGGGACAGGGCTGACCTTGGGGTAATAGCTACACTTTCAAAGGGGCTAGAATTTAACCACAATCCATTCCTTTCTCAAATCCCAAACCCTAGATTCCAAACATATTCTGTCCTTTCAGCACAGAACCTCTTCTCGCCTCTTGGGTCGGGTTTGGGAGCGGAGGAAGAAGCACCAACTTTGCATGGAATCCTACTGCATATTCAGATATCAGTGACTTGAAACATTGTATTGCTTTAGATCTATCACAACAAAAAGTAGAGTACTGTACAGACAACCAGAGACAGGTATGTGAATTGGTTAGAGGCCCCCACACACGGGTGGGTGTGGCATGAGACCTCCCTTGAAACATACAAGAACTGCGACAAACCGCTTAAGTACGTGGACATAGCTACACAAAGATTTCTTAGAGCTACATGAACTTTATAACTACAAAACAGTCATAAAGATTCACGTTTTAAAAACCATCCTCCCAATTCAACTCAAACTATGATTTACCCATCGATAATGAGGTCTCTCAAATGAGATTAAAACACTTAAGCACAGTGATTGGCGCATAGTAGGTGTTTAAAATGCTCTCTCTCTCTCTCTCTCTCTCTCTCTCTCTCTCTCTCTCTCCATTCTTCCAGCTTTTCTTTCTCTTCTCTTCCACCAGTCTCCAAACCCTGTTCCCCAGAGGCACTTCCCAACCGCATGTCCTATTCTAGGTTGACATAAACACTTATATAAAAAGGCAACAGAATCTTACGGAAACCAGGACGTCCTTTCGGTGCGAAATTGTCAGTGCTCTCTGGGGTTAGGGCTGAAAGCTTTCCTTTCATGTTTTGCTGTGTCTCCTGTTGAAAATGTTTACGTTTGGAGAATGCTAACCTTGATTTTTCAGGTTTGAGCTCCCTCTGGAAGCAGAAAGAGAAATGACTCCACATTACTGTACATATTTTATTGCAATGATAGATCGCAGGTGTTTCAGCTGCTATTGTCTTCTTCCCTCCCAAAGCTCCCAACAAGAGAGATACAACTACACGAAACTTAGTTAATTTGACCTTCTGAAGAGCTGAGGAGCATCAGAGTATCAATAGTTCCAGAAGTTCTGGGAGTCAAGGATTTTGAGATTAAAATTCTGAATTCCTCAGATTTATCTACCCATTTACCTATCCATCTTTTAGCCTATTGTTCTTACTGCCACATCAACATCTATTTGTCCTTCAATGCTGTATCATTAAGAAATCAGGATTTAAATGTTGGTTAGCTCCTGTGTGTTCTACCTACTCTGCAGTCTGAATTAGGGGAGGGAAGGCTTTAGATGAATAGGCAGATCCCCTAGCCTACAAGATACCTGATACATGTCATTGTTAGATCATTCCTATTTACAAAGGTCAGATCACAGACACTTAGAGTAGACTCTCTTCTTTTACACCCCTTCGACCTTTTCCCCCACTAAAGATTTCCTGGCCAAGGTCCCTTCATTAGAGCTATTCAAGAAGCCCCTTCATCCAATCAATCTGAAAACAAAGCCAGAGGCAAGAAAGTCTTAAGTCTTTGATGGTCTACAGCCTCAGAACCCAGTATTTGTTTTCCTTTATATACCTATGTGCGCACTTTCCCGGGGCAATCAAGCCATGGGATTGACTAGTAGGCAGGAGGCCCCAAATGCCATCTTTTACTTTGATGTTTGCCCCAAGAGGCATCTTGGCCCAGTGGATAGAAAAACCTCCTTCAAGCCAGGAAGACCTGAATTCAATTTCAGCCTCTGACATATTGCTGTGACTTTGCACATGCATGTCACTTAATCTCGCAGAGCTCTAGGTAACTTTCTAAGACTATAAGTAGTCTTAGACTACAAGTAGTAGAGAAGGTGCCCAACAGCACTGGAAGAGGAGCTTGCTTACCTGAGAGTTCCTTAATCAATGAAATCACAGGTCTGATCTCTACCGTGTATCTGCCCCCTTTCCCTCAAGTCACATAACAGTGTCTTCTACCTCCATATGAACCTAAGTTCCCTTCCAAATGAATCACCAATTTATGGAAATCTAAATGAAATCCTATTCTGTAGAAGTCCCTTTGCTACTACTCTTATCCTACCACTCTTGCTAGAGACTGCATCTTGGGAGGAACCATGGGGTACATGAAACCCCTTTGCTTAGAGGATGATATGACTCTAGGAGGAAGGGAAGCAAGTGCCAGGGCTCTGTTTTCTGAGAAAGCATTGGTTTTCTTTCTACAGAGGTGTTGTAGAGTGAAAGAAGGGAAAGTAAGATGAGAGTGGTTAGGTCCAGCAAGAGACACATTAACTTGACCAAAAGGGTGAACTTCTTAGAACTGCAGCTGCATAGTGGGCAGTAGAGGCAGAAAGATTGTGTGGAAATTTGGGTCATATTTTCTGTGAAGGGTAAGATTGGGATGAGTTTTTGTAGTAAAAAGAACAGAGAATCAATGGGGTTGGTTAAGGCAGAGAGGAACGCGGAGGTGGAACATGTGGCCAGCAAGACGGGGAAGTGGGGCCAACCCGGCCTGGGGGAGGGGCAAAACTCCCTTCTCAACTCTTCTCCAAGTCTCATTGCTCGAAGGCCTAGGCCTTATCAGTCCTAACCTGTAGGAGCTCCCAGAGCCCAACGCAGCAAACCAGATAGACTGCTCTCTACCTCTGGGCAGTTCATCCGTGGCTCAGGAAGAGCGTCAGTCCTGCTAGACCTCTTCTATTCCTCTCCTGTGCGCAGTTTGCCAGGCGCAGTCAGGGATGCAGCTTGGGATTTCATCTGCACTTTGCCCCAGGCTACAAAGAACGTGGTGGTGAAAGATCGAGAACGCAAAACAAAAACAAAAACAAAAAACCAACCAAAAAACCAACCAAAAAACAAAAACAAACCAAAACGGTGTCTGCAACTTCACCTTCCTTCTTCCCCTATTCTCAATAGCTGAAAACTTTCTAGTGCTTCGAAAAAGCGTTTCCTTTCAAAGGCCAGTAGACGCTTAAGCAGTCTGTGCTACACACATAGTTAGTTGCAGCTTCAACAGATGTTCACCTGGGAGAGTCAGGGAGAAGGTCCCAGAGCGTGGAGGGGGACCCCTAAGCCCAGTTTTCTAGGGTGAACTTTTGGTTTTGAGTGGGTGCAAACTCTCGGAAAGCAACTTTGTTCGCGCTCAAATTCAGAAACATTTCTCTTCAAGGCAGCTCCAAAGCTGAGAAACTGTGTGTTTTGCAGAAACAAGTCTTGAGAGAGTATAGTCTAAGGAGTTCATCTCTCCAAATTATAGCACTGGCATTGAGATCGTCACCAGGACACTGAATAGTATCTTCCTTCAAACAGGAATTGAGAAGAGGAAATACCACCACTGTGCAGCCAAGCTGTGCTGAGGACTGATTGAAAGAAACTGCTGCTCCAGATGTTGCTCTAGCCGGCTTGCGAAGTGTGAGCAGGTAATTCCGGGAAGAGTGACATTGTTAACAGAAAGCATCTAATTAACAATGACTTCATTTGATTGGAAGGATGAAAAAGCCTTTTTAAATCAATCCAGATTGACTGGTCTGAGCAGAGCCAATTTATGAATATGAAGGCCGAATGGGGTCTGCTTTCTTTCAAAGATGTCATTCGAGGGATAATAGCATAGGTGAAGTCATTTGGTTACAGGGTGGAAACTTTTATAGGGCCTTCCTTGGGAATTTAATTCAGTGCTTCTTCATTTTATTAGGAACAGACTGACTCCATCAACTGGGCTCTCCCTGTTTAGAGACAAGACTGCTTGAAGCAATTAGGTTCACCAATTAGCATAGTTTTACTGACCCGGGCAACAGCAGCGCTGGCTTCTCAGATTATCCGCTTCTTCAAAGTCCCGGGAAAAAGGAGGAAAACATGCTTCCCAGGTGTGCCAGGCAGGAGACGAGCCTACAAACAGGTTAGCCATTCTGGTTCTGACAAAAAAAGTTCGCCTCTCGGTAGTGGTACCTTAAGATAGATGCTGCAGAAATATGTAGAGATTTTACTTCCCTTTCCTGACCAAAGACCTCATTCGAGTCGTTACTCATTTTGATACTTTCTCTTACACCTCCTCCCACCCTACTCCCGGTTCCACGTTGGTTGTTATGTTTGGGCAGAATCCTTTCCAGGAAGACACATTTCCTGCCTCTCCTTCCCCTGCCCTGATGGTTCTGTGGGAAGGGCCAGGGCCCAGGGATAATTTGCTGTCTTCCTGCTTGAAACCATGTTAGACGTCAAGGTAAAGGAGCATGTCTGGGACTGGGGAGACTTCCTGAGGCAAAGAAAGGTGTGTCAGTGTAGGGTGCGTGTGTGGGGGGGGTCGGGGTGGGTAGGGACTTAGTCTGGATTGTATATACTCATTCTGATATGGCAGAAACTATCTTGATTCCTCAGACCATGATGATAGTAAGGCCATTAACCATCAGTCTGAAGCCTAAAAAGTTTCTGAAGGGCAGTATACATACTATACTGCCCCTTTGGCACCACCTTTAGTTTCAGAAAATCAGAAGGGCCAAGTAGGCTGGCTAAGAAGCCTTGCAATGGGCTGCAATGGGTGTACTTTCAGTAGATCAGGAAAACTTCTCCTGCTCAGGATCTCCTTCAGGCATCTTTTCAGCTGAAAGGGGAACTTGTGTGTTGGGACCTGTCTTCTCCAACTTATATTAGTTGTCTTTCTCCCCTACAAATGCATATTCTTACCTAAGAATTTCACTAAATTAAATTTCTGACGGTTCATCAGTATCAACTACTGTGACATTCCCTTAACCTTATTAAATCAATAAATTCCAGGTCCATGCATTGAATTAAAAATGCATCAGCATGGTGAGGAATTGCAATCATATGGTCAAACATGCTATTTAGGGATTGTTGAGTTAGCACCATTTAGATTTATCTTTCTTCTTTGGGCCAGAACCTGGACAGCAAGGTTTGTCTGAAGTTTTGAAAATTCTTTCCCTCTGATTACTATTTACACTGAACTCCACAAATGAGGTATATGTTTGACAACAGTGATGCAATATGGATCATATATTTCTTGTCAATCACTGTTTTTCATCATGGGAATATACTGTCATTTAGAGCACATTGTTCTGCGTAAAGATAGTCCTCAGGGGTGGAACTGTATGCATGTGGTTGAATAGGCACATATGCAAACATTGCTATGATCTATGTTTACACTTATGAATATGCTGTACTTATATACCTTGATGAAGATGCATTGATAGTTGTAAAAATTTGGCAGTATGTTCTCTCAGCAACAAAACAGATTAAAGGGTATCTACCAGCATTATTAAGTGAATTAAGGGATAAAGAAATTTTGTAATTTTAAAAAAGTTATTTGTTTATTGAGCTTGATTTGCTCAAAGGAAGTTACACTGTGCAGTAGAATGGCATTTTTCAAGTCTTTAAACTTAGCACAGTACTTGGAAAGTCATACACTTTGAATTATTCCATTCTGAACATGAAAGGACATCTCAAAGGTGACTTATCAGAAGCTAGTCAGTTAAGTTGTAGTCTGGAGGGCAAATTTGTAGTTAGTTTTTACTGAAAGCTTTGAGTGTATTAAACATTTGGAAATTGAATAGAAAAAAAATAACATCACATTTGTAGATATTTGCTCTTAGTTGCTAATGATGTTAATAATTAAAAAAATTCACACCCTCTTGATGTCAGCCACAAAAGCAGTACAGAATTCTGAAGATGTAGCCTTGGGTTCACAACATTATGCAAGAAAACTCTTTATTTGATGAAATAGGCAATCAACTGAAATCTATCCTCTTTAAATAAACTGATTCCCCTGTATTTTCCCAGTGTTGGTGTAAGTTGTTGTCTGTGATGTCCCTCAGGGCTCTTTCCTCTGCTTTCTGATTTGGTATATAAAAGCAGCTCTGAGTGATGGATTACTGTGCCACTGCAGCCTGTGAAGGATTAATTTGTTTCATTGATTTCTCTTTAGGCAGATTGCCAGAATTTGCTGCTTCCCACCTTTCCCCAAGACTTCCAGCAGTAATAGACAGTAATAGCCTAAGACAAATCAGCCTGTTCTTATAAAAATAGAACCATGACATCTGAGAGACCTAGGAAAGCTATGACAAACTTTTTATTGGTGCATTGGAAACCCATGAATTGCGTAATTTATTTTTTATAAATATTTATTTTTAAACTCAAAAAAGAGACAATTTTGAATTGTTAACTTAAAAACCCCATCATCTTAATATAACTTCAGGACATATTTATACACAAACACTGATCATTAAGGAAAATAAAACTCCCGTAATATCATGTCCCAAAATATTCAGGCCTTGGTTAGTGCAGAAAAAAGGGGATACATCTGCCAGCCTTTTAACTTCTGTATTTATCTGTTTTATTGACTAAGAATCCAATTTTCGTGTCATATTTGAGGCTTTAAATGATGTGAAGATAACTATTCTGATTAATTTGTCTCTAAGTATTAATATGATTTTTTTTTTATTCCAAAGGATTTTTAGGAACTCTGGACAAGAACTAGACATGTGAGAGAAGAAAGTTCTCAATCAATCAATCAACATTTGTTAAACACCTGCTTGGTGCAAAACACCGTCCTGGGGATCATTCTAATACATATTCTATGGGCACATAGTAGAGAGTCCTCTGCTTCTCCTTGTATTCTGAAAGCAACAATGGCTTAAAAAAAACAACAACCCAAAAAACAAATACTAATTCTTTCAGAAGTGTTTTCCCAGCTACAGATGTGAAATAGGCCAGTATACAAATCTATTTGTTTCCCTTCTGTAGTGTTGAAAATTATATTGATTTAGTGTTCTCAAGTTATACTTTTTATGTAATTAGTGGTGTAGTAAAAACTAATATTGTCATGTGCTAACGTCTTTTCTTCCCCTGTTGTTCTATGGAGCTGTTCCATGCAATATCAGCAAGTTTACACTTTTCTTGTGTTTTTCTGAAAGCGAAGAGGAACATCTGTTTCAATTATATATCTGCATCATAATTATAACAATTAAAGAGCTGCCATGTAAGTATACAGTAAATATAGTTTGCAGAATGACCCATACTTTTGTACTTGGAAAACTTGAATGATTTTAGAGGCATTGAACCAAATTTGTTTTCATCATCTTCCTTCTTCTTCTTCTTCTTCTTCTTCTTCTTCTTCTTCTTCTTCTTCTTCTTCTTCTTCTTCTTCTTCTTCTTCTTCTTCTTCTTCTTCTTCTTCTTCCTAGCTTTCATATAGAGCTTTAGAAAAATAATACTTTTGTCTTAAGAACAAGGTATTTAATGCTAGTTATATTCTGTTTTATGTGAGAGAAAGACCTGACAATGAAGAGGTATATATGCACATGTCAGATTGTTCTATTTCGTTTTTGAAAGTGTTTTTCTAAAGGGGGGCAGACTGAGATTACAACTTCAATCATCAGATACCTTCCAAAATTGACTTAATAATAATGTTAGAACAACATGGTGAATTGTTAAAAAAGAAAATACAATTCACTCGATATTATTTATGTCATTTATTTTTTATATTTTGTTCAGCTGAAATATGGGAAAGACTCAGTTACATTTTTTTGTTTGTGGTTATTTTCACTTTCTTGCTTTATCTTAACACAACACTAGCATGTTTGTATTTTAAACAACACGGGAGTATCTTGGAAGCCAAACAAAAGACTCTTTCCATAGATTGATCTTTTTTTAAATTTTATTTTCCCCATAGATTGATTTTAAATAAGTTCTGGGAAACTTTTTTTTTTAAGTTCCAGCTTTTGGCCAGATAGTCAATTTTTTCAAAGGGTCCATATATAAGGCCTGAGATACTGGTCCTTTTAAAATAATGGAAGAAATGGAATTTTAGAGCTAGCAGTGTCTCTAATGAGTGTTATCTAATAAGTATAGTCCATTCCCTTATTTAGAGAAGCGAAGACTAAGGCACTTGAATAATAGCATTAGGACTAGAACTCTGGTCTCTTGATTCTTAATCTGTTATTCTTCTTACTGCCTGTCTACTATGATTTTTATGGGCCCCTTGTTATTTTCATGTGTGGGTATAATAGATCCATATTACTTTGTAGCTAAGAAAGCTAGAAGAGAAAATTTTATTACTGAAATATCTTCTCATAAGAGACTTTCCCTTCTCCCTCTTTACACTATCATGCAGGAAGTTACTATGAAGGTCATGAAGATAAGGAATTTATCCACATCCTGCTCAAATCACATTTCCTGGAGTTTTCCTGGAAAGAATGAAAAGCTTTATACCCTCTTTGGGATATGCTTGTGATAGATTCCATGTCTTGTAGTTAATTTCCTGGGGTCTTCAAAACAAGTGAAAGTGGGAGGTAGTGGTAGCTAATGTCAAGTTAAAATGCTACCACAAATGTGAATTATTACAATAGTTTAAATACTATAGTTTAGTTAATAGTTCAATAGTTTAAACTATAGTTTAAAAATATTTCAATGGGGTAAAGCACCGGCCCTGGAGTCAGGTGGACTTGAATTCAAATCGAGACTCAGACACATGTTACTCACTAGCTGTGTGACCCTGGGCAAGTCACTTAACCCTGATTGCCTTGCCAAAAAAAATTTATATTTCAATGGATCTGTACCCTCATGAATATGGATAGTCCCCTTATGGGTGCAGGTCACAACTCATCCATGCCTTCTTTTTCAATGTGATGTTTTTTATATTCTCCTATTAATCCTCCATAGAAGATATTCTCAATACGCTGGAGGCTAACCTGATAGCTCTCAGGCTGTTCACCTTTGCTTATAATTTAATTTTGCTAATGACCTGCCCACTGCTCTTTCTGATCACAATTTCCTGGCTATCTTTTACGCCAATTGTTTGGATTTTTTTTGGTGTTCATTTAATTTTAATTTATTTAAAAATTATCAAACATTAAATTTTTTTTGCTCCCTCTCATCTCCTTGCACTCATTCAAAAGAAAGTCAGAAACTGGTATCATATAATCATAGCTGAGCAAAATAAATCTTCACTTTGGACATATCCAACAATTTATTTCTTATTGTGTATATTAAATCATGGTCTCTGTCATAAGCTGGGTGCAATATTCTTTATACATTTTAAATTCATCAGAAGAAATGTTGGGAATCAAACAGGAATGTTTTCTGTTTAAATTCTGCCTGTAGCTTTCCCCAATACCCTGACTCAGAAGTGATCCCTGAATCCTCTGAACTCTCATAATGCTTGGTGCCACTCATGTGGTTTCTCATGATGCTTTGCATATTATTTGTTTTTGCATATGTGGAATTGCAGAGTTGTGAGGGACCTTCAAGGCCATTCAGTCCCATCTGTATCTGGACAAAAGTCCCTTCTAAAACATCCCCAACAGAGAGATCATCCAGCTTTCACTTGAAGAGCTCTAGTGCTGAGAAGCCACTACTTCCAGAAACAATCCATTTAATTTTTGGACAGTTAGGAAATATTTTCATATGTCAAACTTAAATCTACCTCTCTGAAACCTCCACTTAGTGCTCACAGCTCTATCCTCTGAGGTCCAACAAAACAAACCTAATTCCTCATCTTTCCCCCTACCCCCTATTCTAAACGGTGGTGAGAGAAACAGAATAGCCTGCCCTCCCTCTACCAAGCTCCAGCAATAGGACTGTTCCTGAAAAGATCGTGGGATTAAAGAAGAAACTTTCCATTTTTGTTCCATTTCCAGGATTCTCCTGAAAAAGAAATGTGGCCTCTGAATACTCATGGGAACTAGAATAGAGGAAATGATGTTCCATTCATATAATGAGGTCAGGCTATACTACTTCCTTGGGCAAAACTTCCAATGTCGGTAATCACTTTAGGCGAGGCTGAGATTTAGAGGAGATACGTGACTTGGAAATGTGTAGTTTTGTTTGACCTGAAGTAGTTGGTAAGGCATCTGGAAGTTTTGCTCTTGACTTCACCTGTGTTTCTCTTCCTTGCTAACTGGATCACCAGAAAAGCTGCTGGGTTAAATTAAGAGTCTCTTCTCTTCTAAGCAGCCAGAATGAAGTAGCAAGGTCTGTTTTTTCTCTCTTGCCTGATGGATTTCAAGCAGAGAAGATGCCCCAACTCTTCCCTTCTTCCAGGCTGGTCAGAGGAGTGGAGATCCGGCTGTGCTCTCACAGATACCCTCCCCACCCCCACCCCCATCTTGTATTTGGGAATTTGCTTTTGGGGACCTGTATCCTGTTCTCATCTTCTAGATTTCAAGCTCAAACTCCTTGAGTGCACAGATAGAATCATAATAATAATGATAATAGTAATAATTCACGTTGATATAGCAATTTAAGGTTTACACAGGACTTTCCTCATAACAACTCTGTAAATGTAGATCTTCTTACGCATCTTTATGTTCTCTAGAATGCCTAGTACAATGTGTTCTTTGCAGATAGTAGGTGCTCAATAAACATTTTTAATTGCATAAAATTACATTATATTGAATATATAACATTTAATACATGTATACACATGTCTACCACCAGGTTTAATTCTGGTTAAGGCATACGTGCACGCACACACACACACACATCCGTAGTATGATGACAAAAACACTGGTTTTGGGAATTAAAGAACCTGGTTCAAACCCCAGCAATGCCACTGTCTACTGCAGTGATCTTAGGTGAATCATATCATATTCCCAGGTCTCAGTTTCCTCATCTGTAAAATGAAGGGGCAGTTGAACTAAATGATCCTGAAGGTCTCTTTCGGCTCTAAGCCTGTTCATTCTTATGTACTTACATATAATAATGAATGAGGAAATGGGACATAGTAGATAAAGTGTTGGACTCAGAATCAGGAAGACCTGTGTTTGAATCGTACTTGTGACACTCATCGACTGAGTTACCATGTGCAAGTCATTTGACCTCTTTGAATCTCAGTTTCCTCATCTGTAAAATGGGGATAATAACTTTATAGAGTTGTGAAGTTAATTGAAATAATGTCAGTAAAGTCCTTTTGTTGTTCAGTTGTGTCTGACTCTTCATGACCCTGTAGACCATACCGTCAATGAAATTTTCCTGGGAAAGATACTGGACAGGTTTGCCATTTCCTTCTCCAGTGGATTAAGATAAGCTGAGGTTAAATGACCAGCCCAGGTCACACAGCTAGTAAGTGTGAGAGGCTGGATTTGAACTGAGGTCTTCCTGACTCCAGGCCCAATGCTCTACCCACTGAGCCACCTACATACCTTGTACAGAGCTTCACAGACTTCAAAGAGCTTTCATTATTATCATCCACATTTCTAGAGAGCTTTAAGATTTCACAAAGGACCCTCTTTACAACAAGCTCTGTGATGTAGATAGTGTTGACATCATCATTCCTCTTTTACAGATGAGAAATTGAAGTTCTACATGTTTAAATGATTCCTGTGTGATGGCTAGTGTTCATAAAAGCTTCAATTCAAACTACCTCCTGATAAACCCAGTGTTTTTGCCTGCCATGTGGGTATCTCTGTGTATGTCTCTATTTGTATGTCTGCCAGTGAAATTAATACCTCACCTTTTCCTATTTTTTTTAAATCTATGGTCAGATTATAAATGGCTTCTCATTGAACTACTTGTATTTTTTATGTCAAATTTTATATTTACCTACAAACTGTTACCAGGACATCAAAGTAAAGAGAATAGCTATGGAGAAGTATGGCAAGACATTTTTAAAATCTCTCCAGAGAAAGGCCCTGTTCTAAAAACAGCAACTTGGAATTACATGTGTGTACTTTCTCTTTCAGATTTTTACTCTGAAAAATTTAATTCATTCTTAGTCCAGATGAGTAAGCTTGAGTCATAATGTTCAAGCTGCACAATGGAAAAGGAGCCCTGTCAGTGGAGGCAAGGGATTTACAAACTGCTGTAAAATCATGACTTCTCTCTAACTGATGTTTCAAGACCAGAGAATTGATTTGATAAATTAACTACTTGCGTACTTCTGAAAGCAGAGGCTTGGAAGACTATAAAGCACAAATCCTTGTCTGCAGAAAAGATGAAACTACTTAAGGTAACTTTATCAATGCTCTGAGTATTCTCAAGGTGACTGTATTCTAACTACCAAACCAGAGAACCAACTTTATTCTGAAGAATTCGGGACAAATGATCTTATATGCTCAGTAGAACTAGATTTGGATAGAAAAATATCCATAGAGTTTGAGGCAAGAAAGATGGGTTATAAGGAAGATTAATCAGCTCCAGGAATTCCATCCCCTCTTCATTTATGCACTTCCCTATTGGCTGATACACAATTTCCCTATTGGTTACATGTCCTTTTTCATCACTTTTACATTTCTATTTGGATGAAATTTCTCTCTCTCTCTCTCTCTCTCTCTCTCTCTCTCTCTCTCTCTCTCTCTCTCTGTCTCTCTCTCTGTCTCTCTCTCTGTCTCTCTCTCCGTCTTTCTCTCTCTGTCTCTGTCTCTCTCTCTCTGTCTCTGTCTCTCTGTCTCTCTGTCTCTCTGTCTCTCTCTCTGTCTCTCTCTCTCTCTCTGTCTCTCTCTCTCTGTCTCTCTCTCTGTCTCTCTGTCTCTCTCTCTGTCTCTCTCTCTCCGTCTTTCTCTCTCTGTCTCTGTCTCTCTCTCTCTGTCTCTGTCTCTCTGTCTCTCTGTCTCTCTCTCTGTCTCTCTCTCTCTCTCTGTCTCTCTCTCTCTGTCTCTCTCTCTGTCTCTGTCTCTGTCTCTCTCTCTCTCTCTCTCTCTCTCTCTCTCTCTCTCTCTCTCTCTCCTTTTTCTCTCCTCTCTCTCTTTATGTTTGCATGAAAACCTCGAAGGGAAACCTTTGCCTGCTTTTTATCTCGGGAAAACATCTATAGCCCATTTATGAAGGAGTTTGTAACCTAGAGAATTTTTATCATGTTCTCTGATTAGTTATATAGATGCTACTCAGTAATGTGGGTATAGTTAAAACAAACTGGATAGTGATGAATATATTTATTGCCTGTTCAAAAGCTGAACATAGAACATTATGGTAAGAAGTCAAGATCTGAATCATGAAACAGCAGGAAAAAATAAAAGTAATCTTCCATGAGGCCCTAGTGAAATCACATAAAGCTATTACAGACCATAACAGAGGTTCTTAACCCAGGGTTCACAGATGCCCAGGATGTCTGTGGATAGATTTCAGGGGTCTTCTCTACCATGTCCTTTGATTGCTATTTCTTGAACAGAACATTCCATCTCCTGACTCTGGGTATTTTCTCTAGATGCCCTTCATGCCTGGAATGCTCTCCCTCCTCCTGCTATCCTTTCCCATCTGTCTTCCTTCATATTACATCTAAAATCCCACCTTCTACAGGAAGTCTTTCCTAGTCCTTCTTAATTCTAGTGCCTTCTCTTTATTGGAGATTTCTAGCTTATCGTGTAAATACTTTGTTGCATATAATGGTTTGCATGCTTTCTCTGCCATTAGACTGTGATTTTCTTTATATGCCCAGAGTTTAGTACAGTGCCTGGCACACAGTAGGTGTTTAATAAATGTTTATTGACTGACTAGATGAGAAAAATTCCAACTTTATTTTCAATAGCCTCTAACTGAAATTTAGCATTTTCTTCAATTATGAATTTTTAAAAAGCCATGATTCTGAGAAAGTGTCCATAGGTTTCACCAAAATGTCAAAAGGGGGTTCACGACATAAAAAAAGGTTAAGAAAAACTGGTTTATGTATTACCTCAGTCTTCTAGTTATCATGGCTAGCTTTTCACAAAATTAGTACAGTCTAAATAAGAACCACATCAGGACGTGGCAAAAAAAAAAAGAAAAGAATATTTTTGCCACTAGATACTATCAGGATTATAATTTAAGTATCCTCATTATTTTCAATCTACTTTTACTGATTGCACTTTAGACAAAATGGAGTTTAGATAATCAAATCAAATGGAGCATTGGCTTTTCATTTTCTGTTGTTTCAGCCAGGAAACAATTTTCATCTACAACTTTAGAACAAACCTGCCATTGGATATAAGGAGAGAATTTTCCTCTGCCACTATTAGATTATCATGTAGTAAACCTTGCTCATGCTTTTCTATGTAGTATTTTGAATACCAAACTCTTCCTATTTTGCTTATATGAAGAATGTATTACCAGGAGAAACTTTTCTTTCCAGGAAATTAGGCTTATTGTTCTTGAGAGGAAATCAATCAACCAATTGATTTCAACCAATTTATTGAGAGCTTATTGTCATTGGGCTACATACTATGGGGAGCAGTCAAAGAAACAGTTGTGCCTACTCTCAAGGACATTTAGAATGTATGATCATTGAGATTAAGTATTGTTTCATTCTTTGTATTTGCATCCCTAATTCTTAGCACATGGTAAGTGTCTAGTAAATGTTGGTGGATAGATTAATTGGCATAATAACTTAAAGCTGTACAGATATAACCATTTGATATTGAACTAACTGGATATCTTTCTCTAAATATATGAATTCATATGCTTTTTATAATATGGCTGAATTAAGACTTTGAAAGAAAAAGAAAACACATCCAAACTCCCTTTACTACATTACCAAATATTAGCATCTTCTTTCTATTAATTTAATTTTTCTTTTTTTTATTATGAATTACATGTCAACAAACATGAACATTTTGATATACAAAGAACAGAAAACAAGGATTGTATGTGAGACTATGAAATTCGGTTACATCTAATTTGTTTTTTAAAGTGTATAGTGAACATGACAGTGATAGTACTGCTCTGTTCATCTCTGCCCACTTCTGAACTCTTTTGTACTTTCTTATGTGTACTTGTAAAAAAAATTGTTTCACTGATGCTCTTTTCTTTCTTCTCTTCTTTTTGCACAGCAACTTCTCTCCCCAGTTTTTCCCCTCCCCATAGAAGGCCTCTATTATAACAAATAAGTACAGGGAACAAAACCATTCTATGAATTGGAAGCATCTCTAGATCATCACCTCTCAGCCAAGAGGTGAGAAACATGTTCCATCCTTAGTGTTCTGAAGTCATGCTTGGTCACAGTTCTGAAGTCTTTCCAATTGTTTTCCTTTATGGTACTGTAGTCATTCTTCTGCTTCTGCTCACTTCACAATGATCAATTATACTAGTCTTTTAAAGTTTCTATGACTTTTTATGCCTTCATTTCTTTTTTTCATTTCTTATGGAGCAATAATATTCTACTACAATTGTATGCTATATTTTGTTCAGCCGTTCCCCAACTGATAGGACCCACTATATTTCCATTGTTTTACTACAACAAAAATGCTGCCATAAATATTTTTTACATATTGTCCTTTCACTTTATCTATTATCTCACTTAATTGTCTCAAATTCTAAGTGCAATGATTTCGTTTGTATGTGAACTTTGCAAATTTATGTAGTCAAAATTGTCCATTTTATCTCCTGTGATCCTCTAATACTTGTGTGGTTAATAACTCTTTCTCTTTACTTAATTGTAAAAAATATCTTCTTTTCTGCTCCTTTAATTTGTTTATGATGTGACCTTTTATTCTTGTACCCATTTGGAGCTGATTGTAGTATATGGTATGAGATGTTGGTCCGTACTTAATTTCTGCCAAACTGCTTTCCAGTTTCCCCAACATATTGTATCTATTAGTGAGTCTTTACCTAGTAGTAAATTCTTTGGGTTTATTGAGCATTATGCTAACATGTTTATTTTGTGAATATAATCTGTTCCACTGATCAACTTTTAATTTAGAAAGTTTTGATTATTACTACTTCGTAGTATATTGTTTAGATATGGTATTGCTAGGTCTCCTTCCTTTGAACTTTTTTTCCATTATTACCATGAAATTCTTGACTGTTTGCTTTCCATATGAATTTTGTTGTTGTTCTTTTTTCTTCTAATTTCATGAAGTAGCTTTTTGTTAGTTTGATTGGTCTGGCACTGAATCTGTGAACTAATTTTGGTAGTATTATCACTTTTATTATATTGGCATGATCCAGTTGTGAACATGCAATATCTCTCCAATTGTTTAGGTCTGCATTTATTTCTTTTGAGTGTTTTATAGTTGCATTCATATAATTTCTGTGTGTGTCTTAAAAATTGGATTCCATGATATTTTATATATTTTGTAATTATTTTACATGTAATTGCATTTGGTATCTCTTCCTTTTTTGGTTTTGTTGGTAATATATAAAGGCCAAAGATTTTTACTGGTTTAATTTATATCCTGCTACTTCACTAAAGATGTTATTTCAATTTTTTCAGTTGATTTAGTTTCTCCATGGAAACTATAATGCCATTTACATTTGTTTTGCTTTTCCCTCTGATTATTGCCTCAACTTCTTTTTCTTACATAATTGTCATAGCAAGCGTTTCTAAGACAGTATCAAATAATAGTGACAATAGATACACTTGCTTTACCCTGATCTTATTGTATAGATCTCTAGCATTTTCCCACTGTAATTATAATTCTTGGTTTTAGGTAGAAGATATTTACCAAATTAAGGAATGGTCCATGTATTTTTTGTGCTTGTAGTGGTTTTTTGTTTTTGTTTTTAACATAAAGGGGTAGTGTATTTTGCCAAAAGCTTTCCCCTTGCATTTATTCATCATATGATTTTTGTTGCTAATAAAATATTTATTAAGTTTATAGTTTTCCTAATATAACCACTTGAAAATAAAGATTTACACACAGCTAAAATGAGGAGCTTGAAAAGAACTTATCAAAATAAGTAGGGGTAACAATTTTCATCTCAGACAAGACAACAGTAAAAATAGCGATGATTAAAAGAGGTAAACTGCTTTATATTTAAAGGTACCACAGGTAATTATAGATACATATATATGTACATATATATACATATACATACATACATATATATTAAATGGCATAACATGTAAGTACTTGAAGGAAAAATTAATTGAATTAAAAGAAGAAATTTAAAATGGCTAAGGATGTCAGTGGGCACTTTTAAGATAGTCAAATTTAACAAAAAATATAGAAATGAAAGATCTGCATAGAATTTTAATAAAAGTTAGACATCACAGTCCTTTGACAATTGCTAAATGGAAATAGAAAAGAAAATGCATATTCTCAGCAGTTTGTGACACCTTTATAAAAATTGGCTATATGCTAGGGCATTAAACCTTAACAAATGCAAAAAAGCAGAACTATGAAACATATAGTTACTGACCATAACACAATAAAATGTATAATCAATAAATGCAAATTAAGCAATAAAAGGACCTTTGAATAAAGGATTTAAATTTAAATGAAGACTAAAATAACTTAATCATAAGGTATTGGTAGATCAAAGAACAAATCATAGAAACAATACATAATTTCATTAAAGAGAAAGACAACAATGAGATGATATTCCAATACTTTTGGAATGCAGCCAAAATTGTCCATAATAGAAATTTTGTATCTTTGAAATTTTTTATTAACAAAAGAAAGAATGAGTTAATTAACTGAGCATGCAACTAAAAAAAGGAAAAGTAATTATTTCAAAAATAAAAATTCTGAAAATCAGAGTTAAAATAATAAGTAACAAAACCCTTTTTGAAACAATACATAAAATTAGGTGACCCTGTCAAGCACAACCTATGGGTTCACTGTCCACCTTCCGCTTCAGTGAGGCATTGACTGATGACCATTTATAGCCCTAGGACGTCCTCTGGGGACAAGACCTCTTCCCATCTCATTTCCCTCGAGGCCTTCTCCAAGGAAAGCAGGGCACTCTTACCTCCTAACCAGCCTCCTATACATTGACCTGCTCCTGCTTGCTCTGAAGTAGGTCTCTTTAGGCCAGGTTAAACTTCTTGTATTCTCTGCATGTGTTCTTCTTCAGTGGTAGGATGGTAGCGTGTGGAATTATATACTTCATGTGTGCATGGGAGACGATTTTTGTCACTTTATTTGCTATGTTATTTGTTTAGATTTTTTTTTTAATTTTGAACTAATGAATCCTTTGATCCATGGGCAAATATATCACTGGAGGCCTGGTAACATATAACTTTAAGTGGTTGATCCACAGATTATTTTGAATGTAGGGTGTTTTTCTGGTGTCCCTCATGTGATAAGGGGTTTTCTGGGTGCTACATATCAATTCCAGCAAAACTTTTTGAAAATACCTCACTTGTTATGCTTATGGATGAGATGGAGAAATTCAGGCTAGATATTTTCAGTTTGATTTAATCGTAGTTGAATAGATTGACCCAAAGAGTAGTCATTAATAAATTACTGTTAACTCCGAGTAAGGTCTGTAGTGAAAAATTACAAGGAGCTGTCCTTGGCTCCATACAGTTCAATATTTTTACTGATGGATGGGATGAAGGAATACATGGTGTTCTTATCAGATTTGCAGTGAATATAAAGCCAGATATAAGTTACAAATTAGATAACAGAATGAGATCCCAAAATATTTTCAACAGTCTAGAATTGTGGTCTCTGATCTTTTTTGAGGATTATCCCTATCACTAAAAAACACTGAGCTCATATTTATAAGCATATATATATATATATATATATATGTATATGTGTATATAATATACACATATATATAAATTACATACATATGCAACCATACCAATACATTTTGTACATGATAAAATGTATATGAAAGTAGAAAGTAAAAATAAAAAATAACAAAATTGAAAAAGTAATATTTTTAGAAATAAAAAATAAAATTTTATTTATTGATGGTACAAAATCCTCATTATGACTTTTTTTAGGGAGAAAATGTGATTTCATAAGTTTCATTATTTTACAAAAACTTTGTTGAACACTTTGTGATACTGTGATTTGAAGGTCTGATTCTAAGCTTAGTTTCCATCAGTACTTGATAGTCATAGCTGCAAAAGATACATGGATCCACTTGGAAAAAGTGCATCCCATACCTAAGCACTTATTGGTCTGTGACGCTAATTTTTCAATCCCATCCACTACATATACAAAGGTTTTTGTTGAAATTTGGCTAGTCAATTTCTATATTCCTCGATTAGTTCTTGCAAATGAAGCAGATGGTGTTTCTTTTTATATTTTCAACAAATGGGTTTAAAACCTACTTATCTTCTTTGTTTTGAAAACTTATAAACAGGTCAAAATTATCTACATGTTTAAAGTGTGTAGATATGAGCAGTTTTATAGATGATACACATATTTTGAAAAAGTTTTATTGATGGTTTGGTTTTATATTACAAATATAGATTATTCAGAGAGATTATATGGAGAGATCTTTTGGTAACAAAGCAAAATGGTTAACTAAAACTGATAAGTGATCTCATCTGAAAGTGCTTGTGACATTTCACATTTGTAGTACTCTCCACTTCTCTATTTAAAAACAATGAGTAGAAATCTGTTATCTCCCCCTCCCACTCTTTGCCCTATTGGGGGAAAAAAAAGAAAAGAAAACAAATTTCTTGTAACCAATATACATATATAGTCAAGCAAAACAAATTCTCTCAATTACCACTGTGTATGTCTCTGTCCATGTATATCTATATCTTTATCTATATATCATTCTTCACGCTAAATCTGTCATGTCTGTGTGGTCTGAGGTTTCATCATCGGTCCTTTGGAATCATGAGTGATATTGTATTGTTCAAAGTTCTTACAGTTTTCAAAATTTTTTGTTTACATGTTATTGTTATCATATAAATTGTCCTGGTTTTGCTCATTTCATTCTTCATCAGTTTATAAAAGCCCTCAGAATTGTTCTCTTTTATACTATTGATATCAGTGCATATTTTTTTCCAGTTCTGCTCACTACACTCTGTATCAATTCATATAAGTCTTTCCATATCTTTTCAAAATCATCTATTTCCTCATTACTTACAGTACAATAATACCTCATTACATTCATGTATCACAATTTGTTCAGCCCTTTTTCAACTGATGGACATCCTCTAAGTTTCCAATTTTTTTGCTATCAAAAAAAAAGAGTTCCCATAAATATTTTTGTACATAAAGACCTTTTCTTCTTTCTTTGATGTCTTTTGGGTAT